AGGGCTTTTCGGACTTGGATTTTCGTGGGATTCCCCATGTTTGGGTTTCTTGTTTGAGGTTGGAGAAATCTATGAGAGGGAGCTTCGACATTGTTTCGGTAGCCATTGTTTTGAATCTCTCTCTCTCTCTCTCTCTCTCTCTCTCTCTCTCTCTCTCTCAAATGAAGTAGAAACTGCTATTAGTGGTTCGGATTTTCAAGTTTCTATTTTGATATATGTAGAGCATGAATTGTCTTTTGCATCAACCATCGAATTAGTGGCTCATTATACACGTGTATAAATGAATTACAACTTTGCTTACATTTGATATGTATGTGACAATGGTGTCCAATCTCTTACGGTTCCCGACTCGATTCAACTATTCTTTTTCGAGTTTTCAACTTTACAATTTGAATTAATTTTAAGTTAAATTCGATTTCACGTAATTTTATCGATTTTCTTTTGATGAGTTAGTCAAAGCCGACAAAGTCCGTATGAGTTGATCGTGCGATACACTCGCCACAAATGCGACTGGGTGTCGATTTTTTGACTTGAAAAGGCTGTAATACCCTTTAAATAGAAATTTTGTAAATAAGCCCCAAAATAAAATTTTCAATTCAATCCCTTCCATTTTCAAAAGGCCCTCTTCTTCCTTAAGTCAGAGGCTGATTTGCAAATTTCTATAAATACACTGAACATAGTTGAGTCGCCGCTCTCCTTCCGACGAATACCTCTCCTGCCTCACCTCCATCCATACCCTCAGCCTCCGCTTTAATCATATCCGCCTTCCACCCAACCACTCCAACATTTTTTCCGATGAAATATAGGGTGGTTGGCAATATAGGGATTTTTATATTTTTTAATATACAGAGACTTTTTTGGCAATTAAAGAATACACAAGGGTGGTTGGTGCTAAAAGCTCGTTTTACGGTTTAACCATTGCTATGTAATTTTTATTGTTTGAAGTGTTCTTTTACAACTGACAACTCTTCATGGTCTAACAGCCCTTCCTATGCGAATATCAGATTTCTTGAAATACTCATTTCTAGTACAAATTTGAAGGGATTGAATTTAAAAAAAAAAAAGTTATTAATGAAAGTATATATCATATCTTATATATAAAAGAAAGAAACGCTAGGGCAACCCTAAGAAACCCTAATGTCATATTTGTAATTTTTTTTCAATTTTTATCAAATTTTTATCTCCTTAATATTATTTTCGAATTTTATCATATTTGTATCCCCTAAATATTATTTTTTATTTTTATCAGATTTTTGTCTCCTAAATATTATTTTTTATTTTTATCAAATTTTTATCTCCTAAATATTATTATAAATAATATTTTTTTAATTTTATCAATTTTATATCTCCTAACTATAATTTTAAATATAATTTTCAACTTTTAGCAGATTTTTATCTCCTAAATATAATTTTCGAATTTTATCAAAGTTATATCTCCTAAATAATATTTTAAATATTTTTTTCGAGTTTTATCATGTTTTTATTAGTTTTTTATCTCCTAAATATTAATTTTGTTTTTTTATCAGATTATTGTCTCCTAAACATTATTTTCGATTTTTATCAAATTTAATCTCCTAAATATTATTTTAAATAATAATTTTGATTTTAATCATATTTTATCTCCTAAATATTATTCTAATTATTATTTTCGTATTTTATCAACTTTTATCTCATTAACATTATTTGAAATATTATTTTCGATTTTTATCAAATTTTTATCTCCTAACTATTATTAAATTTTTGTTTTCGATTTTTATCAGATTTTTATCTCCTAAATATTATTTTTTGATTTTTTATCAAATTTTTATCTCCTAAATATTATTATCGATTTTCATCATTTTTTTATCTCCTAGATATCTTATATATAAAAGAAAGAAACGCTAGGGCAACCCTAAGAAACCCTAATGTCATATTTGTAATTTTTTTTTCAATTTTTATCAAATTTTTATCTCCTTAATATTATTTTCGAATTTTATCATATTTGTATCCCCTAAATATTATTTTTTATTTTTATCAGATTTTTGTCTCCTAAATATTATTTTTTATTTTTATCAAATTTTTATCTCCTAAATATTATTATAAATAATATTTTTTTAATTTTATCAATTTTATATCTCCTAACTATAATTTTAAATATAATTTTCAACTTTTAGCAGATTTTTATCTCCGAAATATAATTTTCGAATTTTATCAAAGTTATATCTCCTAAATAATATTTTAAATATTTTTTTCGAGTTTTATCATGTTTTTATTAGTTTTTTTATCTCCTAAATATTAATTTTGTTTTTTTATCAGATTATTGTCTCCTAAACATTATTTTCGATTTTTATCAAATTTAATCTCCTAAATATTATTTTAAATAATAATTTTGATTTTAATCATATTTTATCTCCTAAATATTATTCTAATTATTATTTTCGTATTTTATCAACTTTTATCTCATTAACATTATTTGAAATATTATTTTCGATTTTTATCAAATTTTTATCTTCTAACTATTATTTTAAATTTTATTTTCGATTTTTATCAGATTTTTATCTTTTAAATATTATTTTTTGATTTTTTTATCAAATTTTTATCTCCTAAATATTATTTGAAATATTATTATCGATTTTCATCAAATTCTCCCAGATATTATTTATAATAATCTGATTTTCGATTTTTACAGAAAATGGTAAATAAATCTGATTTTCATCCCTAGCGAATTTTGTGACATCGTTTTACATAATGTCTACAACATTTGAATTTTATTTCTTCCCTACCTAAGGCTTCTTTTGTTGGTAACCCGACTTTAGATTTTGTTTTTTATCTTCTTCATCCTATTGACTGTGTGGCAATTAGTTTACATCTTTTTCCATCATGGCTTATCGGTAATTTCATTTTGTTAAATTATGTGTTTCATTAATTTATACCAAAGTTTTCAAAATTTATGTATAACAATTATTTCATTTTATATGTTATTGAACATGTTATTGTAATGGATGATTTGAGAGAATTAACCAAAAATAGGCGGAGCCACAAGCTATTGGAAGTCGACCTTCAAGACTTATTGTTTGTATGCGATATTTAATTTATTGTTTATATTTATTTTTGTTTGTTAATTTTCCAATTGTTAATTCCAGTGGCAAAACAGCCTGAAAATGAGGCAGTGGAGAAGGGCTTAGTTCCGATGCAAGATGTATAGATGGCCTTTTATGTTGTCGATAGTTTAGTTTTGATTATGTTAACTAAGTTATTAAATCTAATTACTTTTAAGCTCAACATAAAAGACATAGTTGATGATTTTTTTCCTGGTTCAAATTTTCAATCTACTGGTATTAGCTGATTCAATTCATTTGGAAAATTATTCAATAGTAAAGTTATTTCCTTTTTTTTGTGTGTAGTATACTTAATGATGTTCCAGTGTAATAGAATTTTGATCATACGATACATCAAACGTTTGTTTATATTCTTACAACATCAAAACAATGCAATTTGTTGTCCCGTGCATCGCACGGGTACAATTACTAGTCTTTAAGAAATTGAATTCCCTCCATCCCATAACCCGCCCTCCATCCGGGCCGGGTCCTATATATCATGACCCGTGACCTGATTAGTTCGACCTGGAAACCGGCTTGTTCGGACCCATGGTATGTTAAAGGTTTGAGAAAATTACAGTTTCACCCCTCAAGTTTGTACTGATTTCACATTTGGCCATCTATGTTCACAAAAAAATGCATTTGGTCCCTCATGTTTCAACAATTGAACACTTTTGGTCATTTTCGCTAATTTACCGTTACTCCGTCAGTTAAGGCAGTGATGGGCAAACGTGTTTTTTGTTGAATTTTTGAAATATGAAGGCCAAATATGTTTTTTTAAACATGTGAACCAAATATGTAATTAGTACAAACTTGAGGGACAAAAAATGTATTTTTTCGAGCTGAAGTTTGATTCCGACAGGTGAAGATAAGCTACAGGTCTGCATAATTGATTGGATTCAATTTTACATTTCTCACGTTTTAAGAGGTTCTCTGATCAAATAGTTAAATAATAAGTTGTGTAAGAGTTTATAAGCTCTTTCAAAGAGTTTGATAATATTTAAAAAAAAATCTTGAAAATTAGAAAAATAAGAGCAAATAAAATGTTTTTTATAAAGTACTTCTATCTCACCTTTTCATTTAAGATCTTATAATACGTAAAAGTACGTAAAAATAGCTTATAAGTTCATTATCCAAATAATTTAAAATTCATTTGAAAAATAAGACGTAACAAGTTATCAGGCGTAAGTGCTTATCAGCTGTTTTAAAATAAGCTTAGCAAAACAGATCGATGAATCATTAGGTTCACTGAAGAAGTATCCAAACAATTTAAAAAATAATTTGAAAAATTAGACGTATCAGCTTATCAGCTCTTATAACAACTTATGAAACGTAACTCATAAGTACTTATCAACTGTTTTAAAATAAGTTTAGTGATAGAGATCGATGAATCATTAGATTCGCTGAAGAACAAAATAACAAGCATCCTTTGTTGAATAATCATGTAGAACAATATAATTGGGAAAACACCAAAAAAGAAAATAATAATATAAAATATAATAATAATTGAGTACGCGTGACGACAACTTTCGAAACAGTTCAAAAATTCACACGACAACTTTCAGATAATCATACATGGAAATTAATCAAATTAATGCAAAACAAAGTCCTCGATCTTGATCATAGTTACATAAAATTGCATACAAGTAATCATATTTTAGAGGTTTGATTATTAGGCTCCACAATAAGCCTTGAGATCAACCGGCGTAGCCAAACGACCCGCTTCCAAGTGAAAATCGAGAAATTGAAAATATTCGTACGGCTTAAATAGTAAAGGGTGCTCTTCATCCACCACTTCTTCAGGTGCCTTAATTATGTATCCCGATTTCGGAACCGAAAATAATCCGATCGAATATCGCTCTTTATCTCCGGCCATCATCACCCTGTGATGTGGTGAATGTAGCCACCCATTTGTCCATGCCTGCGCATATATGTATATATAATTATGTTTTAAGATCTCGTTTGATCGAGAAATTAAATTAGCTATGATAAACTAAATAATTGGTCATGACAAATGTTGCCTTTTAGGTAGATTATTTATTGGACCTGTCAAGATGCAATAATATAATTGAGTTTTCATTATATTATTTAATTTTATCTGACTGGTCTTATCTTAGCAACCAAACGAGGCCTTGACAGAAATATGTGTAAGGAAACTATATATAGTAAAAGGGGTATTTGCACTCGGCTCCCCTGTGAAATCTCTAATTGGCAAAAAACCCCCTCTGATAAAAAAATTAGCAAATACCCCCCTATGAAAGGAAGTCAATGACAATAAGGACCCTACGAGCGAATCGTGGGATACACTCGCGGTTCATGCAGCTGGGCGTGCGTTTTAGGACATTTTAGGACAAATTAAAGTTTTCTAAATTATCAATTCAGTCCCTCATATTTTATGAAATACCCTCTTCTTCACTACACCTAAAACCACCACTATAATGTCAAACCCCAGCTCTCCCATGGCCCATCTCCGCTTCGCAGACCCCTACCACTTCTTCTATCGTCTAGGACTGCCCCTTCCACTATATCCCCGTTCACCTCACCATAACTCTCGACAATACCCTATCACCGCCCGTAAATGCCACCACAAGAACAATGAGCCTCTCTTCGGGCAAACCAACACAATTTGGGCAATTACGAGACTTATCCCAAAAATTAAGTGCTCTGCCATTACAACCATGAGCCAAGAAGAGAACCGCCTTAGGCAAGTCTGGTATCTGCCATATCAAATCAGTCCCATTTCTTAATTCTACCGTCGGATTTAACTGAACCAAAGAGTCGAAGCTGTTCCATTATCAATATCAGAAGCGTAAATAAAGCTGGGAACCTGATATTTCTTGCACTCCTAGACTGCTTGAGTAATCTTTTTCCGCGTCCAAACATGGCTGAAGAAAATCGTAAAATGAATCGTGTTTAACCAAATTCCTTCACAACACCTGAGAATCCAAATTCCCAATAGATGGACACAAATCCGAACAAATCGAAGCAAAACTCGCCTCAATATCCTCCGGCGAAGGGCTTCGGAGATATTTAAATTGGATTTTTTGATTTTTATTTTTTGCCGACTTCTCAAGGAGAAATCAAAATCGACGCCGTCACGACGTGATACCGTTGGTGTAGTCGCCCCGGCGCATTGTTGACAGGTAGGAAGAGTTGGGGCAGGTGGGGTTGGGGGATGGATGTGGTGGTGCTTTGTCTGGTAAAGAATTTTAGGGGGAGGGGGGGCTTACGGGAAGAAGATGGTAGCTGACAAAGTTGAAGGGCTCTGGGGTAAGGTGTCGAGGAGAGGAATTTGAACGAGGGGTGGGCGGCGGTGATTCGAGACGGCGGCAGTGTAGAGGGAGAGAAATTTGAAGGAGTGGGTGGGTGTCGGAGGGCCAGACGGCGGCGGTGCTGACGGAAATGGGGAAGAAGGTGTAAACTTTGGAAATTACAATTTGGTCCTCTAAATTTAGGTTATTTATAATTAAATTAGTTTGATTTTTTTTTCTTTTTTGCTTTATTTTTTATTCAGGGCAATTCTGTCATTTCATGTAAGTCAACGAGCCAGTGCACACAAAGGGGCGGTGGGCTGACTAAAACACAACATAGGGGGTTATATGCTAATTTATTTTTCCGGGGGGGTTTCTTGCTTCCGAGAAATAACACAGGGGGGTCTATGCAATTAACTCTATAGTAAAAAACAAGAAGGAATTTGGAAGACATGGAGAGATTCACCAACAATCATGACTACGAACGCATTGCGCGAGAGTCGATCCTTAGTGATCCATGTCCCAGTTTCGTCTGGCTTTCGA